TGGAGCAATTGTTGCGGTGGTGGTTGCGGAGTAGTAGACGACGGTGCTGACGGTGGTGGTGGTGGTGTCCGGCAGGACAAGTTTTTCATGCTTCGCCTTCTCCCCCCGTTCTGTTTCTCCCGTAATTCTTTTCAGCTCACTCGCTCCCTCCTTAATGCCATATTTAATCGCTTTTTCTGATTTTGCTTTTCATCGTACTCCACTATTTATTTCTTTATCGCTTTCCTTCTTTTTTTTCTTTCTTTAATTCTAATATACTTTTTCAATTGCGTCTTTATAAATATTATTATTATTATTGCGTTTTAAATATACAATTAATATTCACGCTCCTCTTCTGTGCAACATTTCTTTTCTTTTCTCTATTATTATTAATTCATGTTTTTCTATTTAGTTACTTTACATTTTTAAAATGTTTTCAGAAATATTAAAATCTAATAATATTTCCCCGTTATAGTATAGTTGAAAATGTTATTACCCGAAATATATAAGAATATCTAAATAACGTTACTATATAGTTTTTATTTCTTTTAAAATGTCTGAATATTTTACATTATTACTGCAGATTATGCGAGTTAATCGAAAAAGAGTTGTTTCAGTTAGTTTATGATTTCATGTTTAAATTCTAGATTTTAAGATTTGTTTTCGAATGATAACTTTATATTTCGTAATGATTATAATTTTTTGCGAAGAAGGCATATTTAATACAATATATTGTCCTAATAAAAATATTAATTTCCCATCCTACATATTTACATTGCTGTGTTTACATTTATAATTAATAATGAATGGCTTACTTAATAAACTAGAGAATCTCGTATTAATAATTACTCGAAATTTAAACCATTTAAAAAAGGTATATGAATTAGCAACATGAAACCAAAGTGTTAATAGAATAAATGCGGTGTATTAGTGTTAACTAAGCATTATTAATAGTGGGTATTGCATTGCTTTCAAGATAACCATTTTTAGTACTTAAGTGTTGGAAATTTGGTTAATGTGTCTAAACTCACATTTAGATTATATTAAGCTTGGTATTCATGAATCACGAGTTAGGTGGGTACCGATATTTTGATCAATTCATTTTATACTTAAAAAACTTATCCTATTTTTTAGGATTATTTTTCTTAGGTTTAAATCATTATATGCAATACCTACATAATTAAACTTTTCTCGATTCCATTGACCTATCAAAACGTCATTATTGTTTACTCATTGCATATAACCTTTTTCTTTTTCTATGAATTATTTCTTCTCGCAATTACAAGGACACTTATCAGCACGTTAATGGGTAGGTGACAAAAAAAGGGTGTTGGTGAAACCTTATGTGAATGAAGGTTCCTTATACTTAATTAGATTTGTTTAAAACTTAGTATAAGTATGTTAAAGTGTTATTGTTTTCTTTATATATAAATCACTTTGGTTGATCTCATTTGAAAAAAAAAAAGTGCTAAATAATTTGATGATTAAAAATCTAAACAAAAATAGATGGGAGTTTGTGAATGATTTTCATATATTTTTTTATTGATCTTAATAATTTGTAACTATATCATGATAAACTAGGTGTAGATAAATTGTTTGACAACTTAAAAAAAAGGAAACATTTGAATATTGATAAATGGATGCTATTGTTTTATGAAATACATTAAACCTTAGCTACTCGGTAATAACGTAAAAGAGGAAAAATATAAGGATATATTTGTAATTGAATTGTATCACGATTATTTGTGTAATTTTAGCATATGGTTATAGATGATAATGAAATGTTTCTTTTTTGTTTTAAAGAAGAAAATGACAATATGTCTTTTGTCCATATTCTAAAGTTTGTTTTGACAGGTTGAAATTTATAGATGATTGATAATATTTATTTATATGTAAACTAACAAAAATTCTAATGAAGAATAAGGTGGAATTATCACCAAACATTCTAAAAAAATCATAAGAGATGAATAAGACTTGTTTATAGAAACTGAAAAATAATATTTTAATTGTACGAAATTCCATAATTAATTATAAAATTATAAGACAATGAAACTACATAATAAATATGAAAATAAGATGGACAATGAAAAGACATTACAAATATGAAAATAAGATGTGATGTAGTGATGGTGATAAATCATGGATAATAGATCGAATTTTGTTGGACATTTTTTGGACTCTTTGGTGATCAAATTTGTTTTTTTATAGATTTTGGACCTTGATTTAATCGATCCAAATTAACTAATATTTAGTTACAAAGATTTTAGTATCAATCCTTATTGATAGATTATTTTATAGATATTCAACATGAAAGAGAAATGCAAACATACTTTATTGCAAGAGATTAAGTGTTTTATATGTATCAAAGTGATAGATTGTGGTTCAAAAATTAAACACAAAAGATTTTTTAAGTAACAAATTTTGTTTACATAAGGTTCAAAGCGATAAACAATACAATGTTATTTTAGAGCATTAGATGATTCTAATAAATACATTGATTAGACGAGACAAGTATCTCCAAAAAGTACGAGTCTAGTGATCTATAAAGAAGACGATCTAATTTTTTCAGAGTACATGAGTCTAGCAATACAAGCATCAGATGACTCTAGTGATACTCTAATTAAACAACTTAAATGATAATTAATTAGAGGACTTGTCATGTATCATCTTCTCTTTTCAATCCTTAAGAATATTTTATTTCTTCATTAAGCTTATAACATCAACTTCTCTAAGTCACTAGAAATCTCCAATTCATCTGGCTAGCATTATTTCTAGGTTCATTAAATGATCTTTCTCACCTATAGACAACTTATGAGTTTGCTTACAATTCAACTATATAAAGCACATGTTAGAACACTCATGGAATATATATGTAGATTATCATATATAGTCAAAACTCAACCTATGGATAGTTCATAAGTTGTTTACTGAAATTCAACAAACTATATTACTTAATTAGACTCATCTAGCTAGAGTGTCTAATACAAGTTTTCTATATCGTCTAGCAAAAATTAAGAAACTGAATGATTTCAATCATAGCTCAATTAATTACATTTGGATAGGTATCAACTAAAATATTAGATTTAAACCTAATTATTCTTTAAAATATTTAAGATTAAATATTATAAATGTGATATAAAATATAGTCATCAAATATAATAATTTACAAATGAAAAAACATCCTAAAGTAGAATTAATTGTTGATGAGATTAAATTTTGGTCCTTAATTTCTATCAATATTTATGGCTTTATGAAAGGTTTCATTTTGGTTTTTTAATCATTTAAAATGTTCCAATTTTGTTCTTCATCTGTTTAAAATGTCTCAACTTGATTATTAATGATATTTAAAAGTTCCAATTTGATCCTTCACTATTTTAAAAAATGTTCAAATTTTGGTTAAGAGAATTTCACTATTATATACAATGTACGATGAAAGACAAACATACGCAATCAAATTTATCTTAATATATGTTTTAAAGGGACTATGTTATGTGCAAGACATTTATACAATAATTTCACTTAACATGTGTTTAGTTTTGTGAATCTATTCACAATGAACAAAAAGCATAAAAAGTGTATGTTTATTTTTGTTGATTTGATGAGATTTAGGAGTACAGATGTGTGAGAAAGGCTGAAAGATATTTTCTCAAATACAAAGACAAACGGAGAAAGTCAACTCATCAAAATGTGAATATACTAAACTACCCTTGAATAATACTCATATGTATTTTTATTTTTAAACAATTTGAATGTAAAGAACTCGTTAGGTGTCAATAACGTCTCTACACTTGCGTTGAGAGGAGGAAAGCAAGTATGAATGTGAGCAGTTGAATGGATAGAGAGAAGCTTTGATACAGGAAGAAGGATATTATTATGAAAACTTTGAATGGAGGAGAATCGGTTCTCTTTTCTCTAATTTGGAAAGAATCGATTCTATCCTTTTTTTTTTGTTTAGGAAGAATGTGGATAGTTTACGTAATTTGAAAAAAAGAAGGAAATAACACGGGGAACCAAATATGCTTAAGGCAGTTGTTCTGATAGGGAGCTGTAAAACTATAGCAGTAGACTTATAAACAGGAGAGAGAAGAAGTTTAGATGAATGAAAAAGATTAAGCCCCTCCAATTGCAAAAAAAAAAAAAAAGAGAGGTTAAAATAATAAAAATAAAATAATGATAATAATAATATATTTTATTTTAAGTTATTTTTATGACGAAAAATAAAATAATAATCTTTTATTTTTATAAATTAAAACAAAATTTTTAATTTATCAAACTTATCACATTACTCACTCAAATTCCTTCACTTTATATCTTATTTTTTCTTAATCTAATCAATTTCACATTCAACTCTTTTTCTTCTCAAATTCACCCGTATTCGTCTTTAAATCCAAACAAACATAATGCATCTGAAATTGAAATTGAAACAAATGATTTTGGAGTTATGTTAAATGCTTAAAATAAGAAAGTTGACCGTGTATGTTGTCTCATTTGTGAAAAATTATCATCTCTTATAAATACACTTTGTTTTAGAAATAAAAGACATACATTGTACTTTTAGTTTACCTTTCAATACACGACTCTTATTGAAGATGAACATTCTGTTTTATTTGAAAAACAAAGCCCCAATAATAACTAAAAAACAATATTCTTGTGCAAAAGAATAAGAATTTAATTATTAGTTAAATTTCACATAAATTAAATTCACGGACATCATATTAACTCATAACTTAGGTAGATAACTCAACAGAGTGCGCTGTTCCATAATGAAAACTAATAAAAAATACAAAATCTAGTATAATAAGTAACACGAAAATTCAAATAAAAAACTTTAATATAAACAAAAAGTTGCTAAATTCGTATGTATGGAAAACCATTAAAAAATATATTCTTAATAATTTTATGACGCAATTAATTCAAAGAGAAATATTAGTATACTTTTAAACACTTTTTTAATGCTTTTTATCATGACAACTGTTAGAGCATTAAAACGAATACTGAATAATACTATGTATAAGATGAAGTGTATTAGACTGAAAGTGCGCAGTTAGTTATTCTGTCACGACTCAGCCCAAGAAACACTGTAACGTGCCTTTTAATGGCGTCTCCGTTGAAAAACCTGTGAAGTTTAAATCTACGCATTCCCCTTCAACTTTCACATCTATAAATTTTTTTGCTTTTTCTCGTCATTTTCGTGATTGCCCACAGGCATTCTCGTCATTAGGGTTTAAAATTTTTCTTGTCCCGATTATAAATTTGAATGCTTTGATACGGTCTTGATCTTGACTTGAATTAGGATTGCATTTTGAGGGATTTCATCTTCCAGGAGGAGATTCAGTTTACACAGATAACCTCAATTCCAAGGTATTTTACTTTTCGTCTTGTATCTTGAGTCATAATATCCCTGGGTGTTTTAAATATTTTTTTTTTCAAGTTCTAAATGAATATCGAATGGTCTGCTGACCAAGAAACTGAATATAGGAAAGTTATGGCCTTTTTGCATTTGTTAGAAAATATCTATGCCAGGGAAATGAAAATTGAAAAACCAAGAAATTAAACTGTGGCTCTTTTTTCTGAATAATAATTGAGCATGTCACTGGGGAGGGCAACCCTGCAAGTTATGATATATTTTCCTTCAAAATACCCATTACGCACTCACAAGAAAAAAAATTAAAAAGTTGATGCCCCAAAGATACTTGTAGTTGGTATTATAAATGATAAGTGTGTCATGAGTCATTGTTTATAATTTTAACTAAAACTACGCATTTGCTTGACTGTAAGGAGGAAAACAGAATGAAGGCAGGATCTGGTAAAGGGAGAAAAGTGTGCCTGATAGTGACAGGTGTTGTTATTGCACTTGTACTGGTAATTGTGATACTAGCTTTGACTGTTTTCAAAGCCAAGCATCCTACTACCGTTGTGGACTCAACGAAGCTGGAGGATTTTCACATGAGTTTGGATATAGCAAGGCTAAGGGTAGATTTGAATGTGACTTTGAGCACGGATGTCTCGGTGAAGAACCCAAACAAGGTTGGATTCAAGTACTCAGATAGCACCGCTCACCTCAATTACAGAGGACAGCTGATAGGTGAAGTCCCTATCCCTGCTGGAGAGATTTCGTCTGGTGAGACCAAAGGATTCAACCTCACCCTCACCATTATGGCCGACCGTTTGCTCTCCAATTCCCAACTTTTCACTGATGTCACATCTGGTACATTGCCCCTAAATACTTTTGTGAGGATTTCCGGCAAAGTCAACATCTTAGGGTTTATCAAAGTCCATGTTGTTTCCTCCACGTCTTGTGATATTGCAATTAATCTTTCTAATAGAACAGTTGGGAACCAAGAGTGCCAATACAGAACAAAACTTTGATTAACAGTTTTTAATTTAGGAGTGAAACTATATTCTAGATAAGTAGACCGTGTTTATTGCTTAATGTTCATATTTCACTTTGTTTTATTCGTAATTGTGGTTGTTCCTACTCGCCCCTTTCCCGCTCAAGCTACTTCTGGGAATTTATTTGGTATTAATTTTCCTATTTTGGTTACTTCATAATAATGCTTACTTTCAAGTTAGCCTCCATATTTATGCTATCTATAGTTTAAATCATTAGGTAATTACAATTTCTTTCCTTCCATCTTTAATCTTGTTAAGGTGTTGGCAATGCTCTAATAGATTTGAAACTCTATGATATGAATGGAAATCATGAAGTGCATTTTCCAACTGAAAGAGAGGTTAATATGATGGGAGATAGAAATCTTTCTGATCCCAAACCAGTAGATGGAGGTTTATCTTTGGCTGTAGTAAGGTTGGCATCCGGTGAACCTCCATCACAAGGCATTGCCCATTTCTTTGACTAGACAACCACAATCTTATATTGGGTCCATCGGCTGCACAACAGATTGAATGTGAACTCAACAGAGAAAGAAAAATGGTTGCAAGGGATGGGTGTAATTCATGAAAGCCTTAACCGTAAGCGTCTCCCTCTCTGTACTGATCATGAAAACGATTTGTACATAGCGAGAATCACACTTCAAGAGGCTTTCCTTATTGTGTAGATGTGGAATGACTTTTGGTGTTAATATATATTTACTTCAGTTAGAATCAATGACGAGTCCTTTATACCTTCATAAATTTAAAAGGTTTTGGCATGTTTGTTGTTGTCCTTCGTTTATTTTGATTCAATTTGTCTACCTCCTTATCTGATTCAAGTTGCAAGCAGTTCTTGTGGTGAATTGGTTTCAGCATGTGTCTGGAGGAGATAGAGTCTCTCATAGGTTTTGCAGCTGAATTGGTGGAAGGAACTGTGTTGATGGTTAGTGTAAGTGTAGTAGGTGTGATGACCGGTGTAGTTGATGTTGGATCTGTGGGGGAAAACTGTGGTAGGTGAGTTGTCTTTAGCTTGTAGGAGTTCTCCTGCCGTGGACTTAGTAATGATAAAATTTCAACTAGACATCTAACATGATTTATCCGGGTTAGGCACTTTGCTGCGCACGTAATTTTACATTTGTGTCCTATGTTCTGATGTTTTTTCAATATTTATTCAATAGGTCCCTTCCAAAGCAATAAAATGTTTAGCTTTTTTACTTTATATATGGTTGATTATCATTATTTGATATCTTTTGCTAGTAGCTATAGACTTGCGTTTTCCTTTAAAGTCTATCGTATATTAAGGCTTGATGCAATATAGCTCTCTTTCAGTATTTAGGTCGTAATTGTTCATATTCTGCTTTGATTTTGTTAATCTTGATTGATAATTTTCCCCATATTTGAAAAAAAAAATCCCAATATGACGGCACAACAACACCCCATCGATCATGCAATGCTAAAGTGAAAAAAAAAAGTTATGCAGAAAAAGAATAGATTTCCTCGCACCAGTTTTTTCAATCAACTAGTACTAAATTTCTGCCCAAGCATCAATCCAGGTTTCGCTAAAGTTTTATTGGTTGATCGCGTTATTAAGCATATCAAATTGATATCAATAATCACACAAACCATATAAGAATAGAATATATGAAACGGGAAGAACATAACGATTTCGGAGGGAAAGTATCATTCTTGCTTGAACCATCGTTTACAAAACTTAATTGCGGTGAAATTGAATCAGACCAACTTGACAAAGAAATTAAAACTACGGAATAATTCATTGTAAAATAAACTAACGTCAACAGTTAACTATACAAAGTAGTTGCTAGATGTATCAGATTCAAAAGTGTTCTGTAAAATACGTTTTCCTATACATCGCTAAATTAGGAGCACAAAATGCAGTTGCTAAAGAATTGTTATATAACTAGTCTAAGTTTACATCTAGATAAAGCGGGGTGGATCGAGTCTCAGTCATAATTCAAGCTTCTTGCACAACCTCCGATCAATGTTCGTAGGAGGAGCTGCTGGTAGGACTGGGCACAGTTAAGTTAAGAAACTTAAATTATAGTTTATATGTACTATTTTAAATTTAAAAAACTTAAAACTACTTTTACTAAAAACTAATTATACTGGTTAACAATTTAGTTTAAAAATATTGAACTATTTCATTTTGAGTACAGTTAACTATGGTTTCAGTTTTCCTGTTTCCTTTCTCATTCGTAGGTTTTTCAATTTCCTTTTTCCATCACAATTTCCTGCTGCCGTTGTCGAAGATTCGAGTTCTGAGAACACTTCTCGTTGGAAAGAGAAGCAAATCTGCAAGCCCACGTTTTTCCCTTTCCCTTTCAAAAGAGATTGAAAACCTTGGCATGGTAGCAGTGGAAGAACGAAGGAGAAGAGGGGGATCAAAACGATGCCGTTGAGACGGGAGCCAGAGGAGGACACACCTGAGTTCTAGAAGGAGTCGATGGAGTTGCCAACGGGGGGAGAGGGTGAGGGCGGGAGGCCGTCGCAGAAGAGAGAGTAGTCGAGGAAGGACTGGAAGCCGGCGAGGGAGGAGGAGGAGAAGAGGTCGGGGTGGGTGAAGGGGGTGTGGTCGAGGGAGAAGTTGGCAGGGAAGTTGTCAGTGACAAAGATGGTTTTGGCGGCAAGGAGCGTAGGGAGGCGACGAGGAGCGTAGGGAAGCAAGCGCGACAGGGGAGGAGGAGGTGATTGAAGAAGGGGAGGCGCTGGGAGACCACATGATAAGGGAACAGGAGAGGATCAGACAGTCCAGGAAGGCATTGCGTGTGATGAAAATGTGACTTTGAACTTAAGCAGTTTACTAGATTGTAACGCACTAAATGCACTAAAATTAAGTTCAGATCAGTTTTTCTTAACTACTTTTTAGTTCAATTCAGTTTCTTTGAATTATTATATAGTTTGATTATAATACAGTACTAAGTACAGATATTGCACTTTGCCCACTCCTAACTGCTGGCATGACAAGCATAGCAAATTCCAATGATGCGAGGCGAAGGAGTTTTTAGCAATCGTCAAACACTTGTTGGGTGTCTGGCCCTGTTATCAGGACCAGGTGTAAAGGGGTCAAAAACACCATCATCAGGAAGTTCAGGGGCTATCAATACTACCATTACCAAATATTATTTTAAAAAATATTCCAATAGAACTTATTTAAATTTAATTTTTAAAATAATCAAATTTGTTACATTAATATTTTAATGTAATTTTATTTTACTTTGTAAAAAACTAAATTTATTTCAATTAACATTTGAATTCACTTTGAATTGTACTTGAAAAATAATTTTTTTCATCTAAATTTATACTACACAAACTTGTTTTTATATAATTTTATCTAAAATGTAAATATAAAATATTTGCAGGTATTGGATACTCCAAAATAACAAGTCCTGCAAATATTTTTTCACAAATTCCCGATGAATAGTGAAGCAGGGGCAGAAGTATGAAGACAGTACCCGCTCAATTACCATCTCTAACTACAACAAAACACCGAAAGCACAAAAGGAAGTGAACAGGTGTGATCCATGTACAGAAACAAGTGTAAGAATGATAACAAACAAAATTTGTTGGCGAACCAAGAAAAGAATAAGCAAGAAATCACTTACCCTGTCAGTTGGGTCTTCACTTCCCCAACCCCTCCAAAATATAAAATTCCTCTAATAGCAGGCCATTTTTCCTTTACTAATTAAATGTGTAGAGCTTCAGACACTCTATTTGCATTTTTTTCTTTTACCATTTTTACCAAACTTTTTTCCCTTCGTCGACTTGCTCTTGATATAAGAAGTCCTGTTGGCCTTTTTCTGCCTTTCCTTTCGAATTTGATCCATATCTTTGATTTCTGAACGCACATGAGCATTGGGAATTGAATGCTGCTTCTTGCTGCCTTTAAAATTCCTGCCACCTCTTTGGTAAGATCCTGTATAAAAAGAATTCATAGAATTTTACGTTTAGCTGTTATACTAAACAAAAACATCCTACAAATATACGGGCATTTTACATGCAAATGCCCAGAAAATCTTAATTCTGGAAATAATAGAACTCATGCAGCCTTCTACAGTATTTATCTCTTGTATTATAAATAGTAATTACCAGCATAACAGAGTGCATCATCAAACATAAAAATCACAAGACGCAAACTACGCACAGTACCTGCAAAACTTGTTGATTCATGAGGATCACCATCATTTGTCCCTCTAAGTGATATCTTACCGTGTGAGCGTTCTTTCCATTTCTTATACAAACCAGTCTTGGTGGCCTTCGTTTTTGCACCACTCTCTGTCTTTATCTACACTCGAATGGAAATTTTATATTTATGCTCTAGTTCTTCAAGGTAGTGAATAGAAGAACCTCACACTGCATAGTAACTATCAGCATAAACTACGGGATTATAAATATTGTACCTTTCCCGTTTGCAGCAACTCGGTCACCATTGTTTAATTTGATGCACTTTTTACTCCTCTGGCACCAAAAGGTTTACATGAGATGCATGACACGTTTTTCAAAAAACATAAATAAAATTTAAAAAATAACTGTCTTCTTTATAAATCAATCACAACTTCAGTATTACCTTGTGCCAGTGATACATAGATCTTTGTTTCTGAATGCCAGTACCATCATCTGCGACTAGATCAAGGACAGCCGAGTCCAATCTAAAAATATTGAGTATCATTAGAACCAAAACCAAGCAAGCAAACACTAAAAACATTAGAAAGAATGGGATTGTATAAATAAACTGAATCATACATGTTGAAAGTCACAACACGATATATAAGCAAAAAATTAAACACCAAACCACAGACATAATGAGCCAAAAGTTTTATTGTTTGCCTTCTGAACTAATGATTTAGAAATGGTTGACAATAAAATTCCCTCCAATAGCATAATAAAGAGGACTGCTACCTATTTGAAGCAAAGCCTTCATTGGCTTTTACTGAAAGGCCAGCCTCCATATGCTGAAAATCATAGCAAGATTAGTAGCAAACTTTTTTGTTTCAGAACCATAACCACCATGAATATAGTATATATCTGTATGATGAAGTATGTAATTCGGATAGAAACTTACTTGATTTTTTGGTATTGAACTTATATAGTGATCCTCATCCTTGAAACTTTGGGGCTTTCTCTTAGAACCACGTGCTGCTAAAACTCAAGTAAACAGAA